GGGAGGTTCAGGTCAGAGATAAGGAGGAAGTTCTTTCCTGAGAGGGTCGTCAGAAGCTGGAACAGGCTGCCCAGGGAGGTGGTGGAGTCACCATCCCTGGATGTGTTTAAAGAGCGGGTAGACGAGGTACTTAAGGATATGATTTAGGGGGTAGACAGGAGCGGTTGGACGTGATGATCTCAGAGGGCTTTTCCAACCGAGCCATTCTGTGATTCTGTGAACCTGTGTGGTTGGCCTCACCTTTTGGACCATTTGCAGTATGATCTTGGCCAACAAGCTTAAACAAGCAGATTGTTTGAATAAATGGCATGAGGACATTTCCTACTGCCCTTTCGACCGACACTAAGAGAAAGTCCTGAGGACAGAGGCTGCTTTTTGGAATTTTCCTATGTGGGCTTTAGGAGTAAATATTTTCCTCTTGAAAGAGGACGCTCTTGAAAGGCCTGGCAACAACTCTGAGACTTTTGAGCTTCCTTTCTGTTTTCCAGACCTTTGAAGGTCACGATGCCTCTGTGCTGAAGATCATTTTTGTAAGCCGAGGAATGCAGCTGCTCAGCAGGTGAGTGCCACAGCAGGCGGCTGCAGGAAGCTGCCAGAACTAATCAGCAGGGCGATCTCTTAGCTGGTGGCAGCAGCCAGGGGAAGAGTCTCATGCAATGGGTTTAGTTTTGGAAAGACTGATAAGGCGATGCCATGTTTCTGCCAAGCTTTCTGCAGGGCTCTGACTTTTCCTCTTCTCCAGTCGTGCTGCGGGTTCTGGTTGGCTGCTGTGACGCTGTGGGTTGGTGACAGCCAGAGCTGAGGGTGCCTCTCATCCTTGGCATGTTTAATTGACTCTGCTCCTGTTGGAGAGGCACTGGAATGGGACAAGTTTATCCAATATTTGAGGTGGGGCAGAGCGAGAATGGATCTGTCCATTGATTCTTCTTGTTGTGTTTCTGTCTCTCCCAAAAGCGGGTCTGACGGTCTCTTGAAACTCTGGACAATCAAAACGAATGAGTGTGTGAAAACGTTAGACGGCCACGAAGATAAAATCTGGGGTCTTCACTCTAACAAGCAAGATGATCTGGTGGTGACAGCATCCAGCGACTCCTGCATCACGCTGTGGAAGGTACCGCCCAGGGCCCTTCTGTGTTTCCTCTCTGGGTCAGTAACGAGAACCCCGTTGCAGAGCTGAGGCTCCCAGTGGCTTGTCCCTCACTGTTCCAGCATGACACGAACCCTCCTCGTTTTCTGCACTTTAAATTGGGTCACTGAGGCATCTCTTGGGGGTTTTTTTGGCCATACTGAATTTCCCCTGTTGAGGATGTAGAAGGAGCAGCAGATGGGCCTCGGCAGCCTGCCCAGAGCTGGTGCTCTAAAGGTGACTTAAGGGGAGTTGCTGGATTTAACACTTAAATCACTCCATCCAGAGATCTTGATGGCTCAGTAAAAATTCATCTCTGTTAGAACAAGGCTTGACAAAGTTGCATTCTGTTTTTCTGCAGGACGTCACCGAAATCGAAGAGAAGGAGGCGCAGGCTAAACAGGAGGAGCAGATCATGAAGTGAGTTGATCCTGTGCAGTAATGAGCTGTGAAAGGCAAACTGTGCAGTGAATCTGTCCACACCTACAGCCCTCCAGCTCCATCTGATCCGCATTTTGCATCACTGAGCTGTTTAGAGGCTGTCAAGGCACAGCAGCCTCTGCTTTGGAGTTTATCTTCAGTTCCTGCAAGGCCTGGCTATAATGCTGCCAGCTTGACAACTGATGAGTTTCGTGTTTATGTGCTGCTAAGATAAGCAAAGCCAAACCACTGAAACCTGCTTTCGCTTTCTCCCGCTTCAGCCAGCACCGAATGCTCCAGGGAGCCCTCGAGCGTGCCAGGGAGATTATCTGCACAATGAGGGCACTGAGGCGTTGGTTGGCGAGCGGCATTTGCTTCTTGGCATTAAACCTCTGCACGCCATTCGTGCCAAATCTGCTACTTTCTGGACAGCGTTTCGTTCCACACACCAAATATTTGCCTCACTCTCTTGAACCCCCGTTTGTTTTCCAGAGAGCAGGAGCTTTCCAACCTGCTTCATGAGAAAAGATACCTCAAAGCTCTAGGGTTGGCAATCTCTCTGGACCGTCCGCACACGGTGTTGATGGTGGTCAAAGGTGAGTCCACGTTGTGCTCTGTAGGTGTTTTGCTGGCCTCTCTGCTTTCCAGATCAATCTCTTCTGGGTAGACAAGGACTATGAAGTCTGAAAGCCTCAGTTTCCCTTTTCTTTTATGACTCCTGTTTTCCTAAGAGCAATCACCCCTGATAAATGCTGTCCCTGCTCTCAGCCCATGGGTGAATGAGCTGAACTCTTCATTTCCCTGTCCTGCAGCCATCCTCAAGGAAACTGATGGGAGAAGGCACTTGGAAGAGAACATCGTTCGGCTCCGGAAGGATCAGAAAGGTTTGTTGTGTTGTAGTTCTGTGCATGCTTGTTCTGCCCCTCTGGGCTCGTCGGTCACGGTGGGAGCTGAGCTGCTCTGTGAGACACAAGAGCTGCTTTCTGCCTTGACATCTGCATGGCTGTAGTTGCTGAAACCAGCAGCGTGGTTTTCCAGACAGTGCTGCTGCAGTGATAACCACAAGGCCACTGTCTCACCATGGGTGCTGTGTCTGCACCTATGGGGTGAGGAGCAAACCCAAACCTGACCAACGAGGTCTTGCATCCCACACACGTCACACTCAGTATAAAACCGAGGGACACAGCCGTGTACAACCTCCCTTCCTCCCTAGAGGCGATGTTAACCTTCCTGGTGACGTGGAACACCAACTCCCGAAACTGCCACGAGGCCCAGACCGTCATTGAAATCCTCCTGAAGCACGAAGCCCCCGACAGCCTCCTGCAGTACTCGGGCATCAAATCCGCCGTGGAGTCCCTGCTGCCCTACACCGGTGAGTCGCGCTGCGGGGCCTGAGCGCTGCTCCTGTTGCCAATATTCCCCGTTTACCTCCATCTAAAGAGGCTTTGCACCCCATTCTGCTGAGCTTTCTCTCTCTGACCGTTGCCTTTCTCTTTGCAGAGCGGCATTTCCAGAGACTGAGCCGCCTGCTCCAGGCCTCCATGTTCATCGACTTCATGTGGCAGAACATGAGGCTGGCTGACGTGTCCCAGCAGGACGAGGTGACTTTGTGACCCTGCTCCGCCTGTTGCTGTGTCGGGAGGGGAAGGTCTGAGCTGCTTCCCCACCAGGTACGGCAACTGCACTCTTCTGTGTTTTATAATAAATGTTTAACCTTTCAGTTCCTAAAACAAGTCCAGCATTCGGTCTCCTTGGGGCTTAATGAGAGGAAGAGGCCGTTTCTTTGGCCAAGCTGTGGTTTCCCTTTGTATTTTCACACCCTGAATGTCCAGGCCCATTTAAACACCATTTAGTTGGAGAAAAGGCAGAACCTGGCTCAGAACAAGCAGTTGGGTCAAGACTTTATGGGGATTGAAGGACTTTATGGAGTGGGGAGCTGTGCGTAGTGATCCATGTTGTGTCACCGAATGTTTCCTTTGTTACAGTTTTAATTCCCCAGCTAGTGAATTTTTAAAGTATAAAAAACCCAGGCAGTGTTCATGGATATTTACGTGTGTTTTATTTCAGAGACAAAACTGTATAAAATGTAGAATACAAACACCTCACAAGTTGGTTAAACTGCTTGTTTCAATAAAACTGAACAGATACCTGCGAGAATAACCAAAATTAAAGGTAGGAATCTATAGAAAGGTCTAAAGTTTTCCTGTAACTGTTTCTTCTAACTCTATTGTAGCAGAAGAGTTTAGGATGAGAGTTGCTGTGTCAGTAACTGTCACACCCCTTGAAAGGGGAATGTTTTGTTCATAGAAAGGAGCTCTGGCCTCCTTACCCACTTGGGCACGAAGCTGAGCTGTAACTGGGTTTGTTCCTGTGCCGTCGCTGCAGGGAACAGGCAGAGCTTCCCAGTCTAAATAGAAGTTTCTGTTCTCACAGCCACTCAGCAGCTCCAGCCAAATTCGTTTATTCAATGACCAGTTCTCCACTACCCACGTTGATTGAAGCTTTATAAAAACCCCAACAAACCAAAAACCCCAAAACCACACTAAATATCAGAGAGTTTAGAAAAATACATACAAAACAGGGGGTCAGATAAATTATATTCTCATGGCTGCACCGTCCCATCCCTACCCAGTACCAGTAACTGGAGCTCTGGATTTTGGGGGTGACTCAGTCACTCCATCTGTCTGGGTTTTACTCCCCACTCTTTCAACAGCCCCGTGTGGGGAATAATGCAAGGAGGATGTGAAGTTTTCACATGCTGCACTGCAGGGTGAATTGGGGGAGAAGTGGCTGAATGAGAAGTGAGCCCTGACTTGCACAGGAGCTGCTGTCACTGCCTGGAGAAGTTCAGCCACTCAGTGCTGTCCCTGTGCGAGCTGCAGGACCCATCGGTGCTGTTCACATGGGTTTTGGTCAGGATCACAGCATCCCAGAATGTGAGGAGTGGGAAGGGACCTGGAAAGCTCCCCCAGTGCAACCCCTGCAGAGCAGGATCACCAGAGCAGTCACACAGGAACACGGCCAGGGCTTTGGGTGTCTCCACACAAGGAGACTCCACAACCTCTCTGGGCAGCCTGGGCCATGCTCCAGAACCCTCACACTGACAAAGTTTGGCCTCATCTTCAGCTTGAACCTCCTGTGCTCCAGCTTGGGACCATTGCCCCTTGTCCTGGCATTGGCCATCCCAGAGCAGAGCCTGGCTCCTTCCTCCTGACACTGCCCTTTCCCAATGGATCCCCAGGAATGAGGGCACCCCTCAGACTCCTCTGCTCCAAGCTCAAGAGCCCCAGCTCCCTCAGCCGCTCCTCAGCAGGAGATGCTCCACTCAAATGTGGAGGATGTGTTCGTGTCCATGGAAAGTGATGGTCCCAAGCGCTGGTGCTCCCCACGCCTCTGCCCCTGGGGCTTTGGTGAGGAGGGTGCCTGGCTCTGGTGTCTGTGCCCCCCGAGGGTGCTAATGCACACTGGGGAGAGGGCGCAGAGCCTGGAGCACTGGCCGGGAGGAAGACTGCACAGCTCGCTTGGTGACGGTGCTGCACTTCTGGAGGATCTCGTGGGCTGAGGGGCGCACGGGCACCTTGGGGACACAAGTGGCCAGGTCTGGGTCATTGAGGGAGTAACTCAGCTCAGCTGCAGAGGACTCCACGAAGCCGGAGTCGTTCCTGTCCCTGTGGGCGAGGCGTGGAGAGGCGCCGCTGTGCGTGGCCAAGGCCTGGCCCAGGGGAGAGCTCCTGGCCTGCTCCACTTCGGGCAGAGATCTTGACAAGTCGGGCTTCCAGCTCAGCCGCCCGCCCCGCTCGCTGCTGCTCCCCAAGCCGAGGGACGAGCTGTCCGAGTCCAGGTCCGGGGTGGAGCTGGCCCTGGGCAGAGACCTGGATCTGCTGCGCTGTGAGCTCGCGTCCTCTTCAGTTTGGTCAAGGGAAGAGCGAGGCTGCACCCTGCGCTGTCCCGCAGCCTCCCCCCAGGGTTTGGGAGCCGGTGAGGAGGGGCAGAGGTTTGGGGTGGAGATGTTGAGCCCGCAGGTCATGATGGTCTGGAGCTTGTGGTGAGGATTCTTGTATGGCTGCAGGCACATGGAGGGCATGTAGCCAGTACAGCCGTTGTATCTGGGGGGAAGGAGAAAAAGCAGCGCTTGAAAGAGCCCTTTTCTGGGCTTAGACCAAGGGAGGGAGCAGAGCACCTGGGGGAAGCAGGTGAGGACCCAGCCCAATGCTGGACATGGAGCGTGAGGAAGGGAAAACCATCCCTGGCCAAGGGCTGGCAGCTCAGGGGGGAGCTCCTCTGCACCCCACTTGGGGCAAGAAGCACCAGGGGCAGGTAAGGGGCTCCCTCGGGCAATGAGAGCTTTGGGCAAAGCCTCCTTACCGGATCAGCCACCAGCCATTGGCAGATTTCCTGAGCACCTCCACGATGACGCCGTGGTTGAGCGAGAGCTCATCTGCCTTCTGAGACTCGTAGGCGCGCAGGACGAAGTACAGGCTGCCTGCGGGGAGAAGGGAGAGGTTGGTTTTGCCTTGTGGAGGAAAGGTCCCCAACCCTGGGACAGAGCAGCTCTGCAACCCTGGGGAGCCACTGAGTGGCAGGACAAGGGACCCTGGGAGTGACTGAGCTGCTCAGGGACCCACAGCTGCGGGCTGAGCTCATCAGAAGAGTCAGAGCTCAAGACAGGGACTCCAAGCAGTGGTTGAAGTGGTGGGGTTTTGCAGAACTCCTATTTTTTAGTAAGAAATGTGTCTCTGGGAGCCAGGAGCAGCCTTACCCTCCTCATCCGAGCTCAAGGTGCTCTGGATGTCCCTGTGGACATCGATCTCCTCCAGGTATGAGGCTGGGAACCAGGCTATCTGCTTGTCTGCGTTTTCCACCAGCCACCAGCCTGCAGCAAACAGCAGTGAGAAGGTTTTTAACGGCCTGCAAGCAGCGATTTGACCACGATCCCTGCGCAGGGGCTGCTCTGCAGAGAGCTCAGCCCCTGTGTAAACGTGGGTGAGCACAGCCCATGTACAAACACCCTCCCGCACGCCGACGCGGCGTTTGCCGAGCTCCGAATCAACCTGCACCATCCACCCCTGCAACAGAGTCCCCGTCACACGCACCCGTCATGTCCTGGATTAACACTTCGACGATTTCCTTCTCGGCCACTCGGAAGGTCTTGTTCTTGGTGTCTTTGGTCTCGAAGGCCTCGATGCACCGGTAGCTCTGGGACGCCTGCGGGGAGGTAACGTGCCATCCCTCGCTCTTCTTGCCTCCTCCGATTTCCGAGGGCATGATCACAACGCTGAAAAGCCAAGTTTGAGATCAGTTAACTGAAAGTTTACATGGAAAAGATGGAGTTTAGGATCGAGTTTGGTAAAATCATCTATGCAGAAGGCAAGGAAAAGCTTAAGCATCAGAAACAACATGAAAGCGTTGAGCAGAACTTCCCCGCTCTGCAGTAACTGTTATTTCTGTAGCATTGCTGTCCCATGACAGCTCATACAAACACAAAACAGAAGTACAAGCTGATACCTGTTTTCAGGAAAGGAAGGATCCAGGTCTTGGGCACTGGCCTTGAAGAACTGAATGACATCTTTCCCCTGGGAGATCCTGGCCTCCGTCCGCAGCAGCTCCTGGACGTAGGATTCCAGCAGCTTCAGCACCTCCAGGCACCTGCCCGGCCTCCCGCTCCTCCTCTGCAGCGCGTTCACGGCTTGGGAACACAGCAGAGTTGGTGTCAGACAAAACCGGGGCCGGGTGCCCGGGGAGCAGAGCCCTTTGCTCGAGCACAGGGGTGCCCTCACCCCCTGGCACAACCCCAAACTGAGAAGCCGAGACAGAAGCCTCCTGTGCCTCCCTATCACCTTAATAGTGCTTGATATAAACGGTAGATGTTGAAAAATGGTCTTGGCTCACACACAAATGTTGCAGATGTTGCATATTTGAAGCGTAATCTTAATTTCCCAAGTGCAATTATCTATTTAAACAATTATTTATGGGTTATTTAAGCCCGTAACAGACCCAAATTTTAGATATTAAAAATAATTAACTTTGCTCACACCTAAATGTTGCAAGTGTTGCATTTTTAAAGCGTAATCTTAATTTCCCAAGTGCAATTATCTCTTAAAAACAATTATTTATGGTTTATTTAACCCTGTAACAGACCCAGATTTTAGATATTAAAAATAACGATCTTTGCTCACATCTAAATGTTGATATTTAAAGCGTAATCCTAATTTCCCAAGTGCAGCTATGTGTTTAAACAATGATTTCTGGGTTATTTAAGCCCGTAACAGACCCAAATTTTAGATATTAAAAATAATCCTCTTTGCTCACATGCAAATGTTGCATGTTTAAAGTGTAATCCTAATTTCCCAAGTGCAGCAATCTGTTTAAACAATGATTTCTGGGTTATTTAAGCCCGTAACAAACCCAAGCACCCTGACATAGCCCAGCAGCACCACGAGCAGGACCAGAGGAAGGGGGGACTCACAACCAAAGCCACCCTTACCCCTGTCCCCGTGGGTTTGGGTCCCTCAGAGCCCTGTCCTTACCTTTAAACCTGGGCAGCGTCCGCTCGGATTCCTGGGGGAGCCGCTCTCGATGGGGAATTTCCTCTTCAGCTCTTTCTGAAAGGGAAGCAGAGCAGCAAGTGGTGATGATGCTTCACAGCCCCGCAGGCGCTGGGCTCCTGCCCCCCTCCCCGTTTTCAGGGCAATGTTCACTTACGTGGAACCTCTTAAAGTCCTCGAAGGTCCGGTAGATGAGAATGTTGTTCTGATCCGACCAGGACACAAACATCATGTAGTTCTGGGGAGACAGAAGGGGGAAAAGTGCACGTTTTATATCGCAAGGGTCAATATTGGGAGCTTTCAAGCACTCGGGATCTGCCGGGACCTGTGGTTCAGGCTGCAAGATTTAAGTTTTTTTTTAATTTATTTTTATTCTTAAATATTTAATAT